CCATCGGAGTCTCTTTCCTAGCCCCTGGCTTTGCCGAGAGGCGATGGCCATGCACCTAACAGATATATATCACGGCATTAAACAGATAAAATACTGCCGCAGATCCTGGCGATCCCCAGCTAAGCCCAAGTCAGACCATGTCCACTTGCAGAGGAGTGATTCCTGCTCCATCTTTGGCATCCTTCCTGCTGGAGCCACGCTGGGATTGGGCAGTGCGATGTCCACCCAAGGGGCAGGGTCTCTTTCTCCTGCTGTTCTCTGTCCCTTGGATTTTCTTTCTCTTCAGCTCAGAGGCCACCAGGCAGCCCGAGCTTTTCTCTCCTCCGTTGACGCCGTCAGCCCTTTGCCTTCCACATGGCCCAGTTCGGTTACAGAGCCATAGACATGACTGATACTAGGCAAGTACAATTAATAAAGTCTATCTAGCCAACATCTGACTCTCATTAGAGGCAACGTGTTGAAAAAACAGATCCCAGGTTGGCCGTGATTTACGGTTTGGGCCTGTTATCCTTCACGAGCACTGGCGAAAGCTTTTGCAAAGAGCCAGAACATAAACTACTTAAGGAAACTTGGTATCCATGTGGAAAGGCTGGAAGAGTCAAATAGGACAAATTAAAGCAGGGTAGAGGCGCAAGCCTGGGCTGGCTGTCCCTTACGAGGGCCACCTAGGAGATCTGCACTGACACCTCTGCTGTGGCGTTTGCCTTTTCCTGGTTCTGCTGCTCCCTTGGCCCTGTTGGTGCTCCTAGCGGGTTTCCAGGCCTGGAAACTGGTAGAGGTGGTTAAAGGGCAAGGGAGGGCTTCCCAGGCAGGTTTTATCCCCCAAATCAAACATACTCATATTGTCCTGTTTAACATTTAGTCCTTTTTTACCCTCTCACCTCTTGGCCTTTACAAAAGAAATATTATGTTGAAAATATGAAAGTGAGACTCAGAGGAGAGGAAGGTGTCAGTGAGCGCCCCGAGCAGTTGCAGCAGGCTCTGGGCTTGCGGTTCCATGTCCTGCAGCCCAGCTGGGTGCTCTGCCCCATCACGCTGCAGGGCTGCATGTCCCATGAGGGACAAGTACGGCCTCGAGGCGGCTGCTGCGAGTCCTTCCTGGTTCCTTAAACCAAGGCTGCGCGAGGCCAGAGTGCCCTCCCCTTTCCTATAAGCCGCTGCCTCCTCCTCCTCTGTGAAATATGAATTTTGGAGTAATCCATCAAGAAAAAGAGAGAAGGAGCCGTGATCCCTTGAATTCAGTTGAGCTGTGCAATTTATATCTCCCAAGCATCTGGCTGCAGGGAAGCCGAAGGCCCCTGTAATGTTCTGCAGAGACCCTGGGGGTGCAAGTGAGCATGGGCCACACTGAGGAACAAGGCCCACGTGCCAAGAGGAAGCTTTGCTGCCCCTGGGGCCTCTCTGACCCACGGCCCTGGGCTCAATTTTACCCCTCTCAGCGCCAGGGCGATAATTGTACTGGAATCATTAGCGTCTCTCAGTGTAAAGCTGCTGGTGGCTACAAAATCCTGCCTGTTTTGGTTATCTTTTAGAGTGAGGAGCCTGAGGTTCTCTTGGCCTTGAGTGGCTGAAGTGAACAAGTATTTAATGATTAAATCCGATGCCGCTGAAGACCTGCAAAGAGAGAATGCCAAGTACAAGGCAGCACCTGCAGTGGGGCATTCTCTGCCAAAAGTCACTTGTCAGAGGGGGGTATCCAGAGAGAAAGCTTCCCACAGGCTGCCCAAGCCCAAAGCTGTGGCCGAGATCCACGTCCAAGGGAAGGGGTCTCCACAAGCACTGGGTCTGTCATGTCATGTTGCTCTACACGTGTTCCAGCGAGAGCAAGAGCAGCGTTGGGGGAGCCCGGGAGAGGAGAGGTGTTTGGGGATGGTAACAGTGAGATGTTATAGAGACGAGCTGGGTGCCACGTGATGCGTTGGGGCAATCTCGTGTTTGTTATCGCAATTACTTATCCTCCCTGCTGGAGTATTTCTACAACAAATTCCACCATGTGTTTCGAGGTTGGGCTTCATAGAATGAAGTCGCAACTCCTTCCTTGGAGTTTAGCTGGAAAAATACCAATCTGCCAAATAGGAGTATGAGGGAAGTAAACTGTGGTTGTGTGTAGCAGCAAGTGATTAATTTCTGCAGATACGGAAAGTGTCTTTGCTGGATTTCCAGGTCAGAGAGTATGAATGTTTGCCCCAATATTATATTTGCTGTATGCGGGATAACAATGTGAGACTCTCAAGCTAGTTTTAATAAAGCAGCCTGCTTTCTCCCTGATGAGAAAATCTACCTTATGGGTGCAGGCCCTGGAATAACCAGCCATTGCACCTGGTAACTAAATGCTTCAGAGGATTTTAGTTTGGGAAGATATTTACTAGCTTCATCTGTCACCATCTTGTCAGCCTTTCTGCAAGGACACACAATCCTGCCCTTGAAGAACTCCTGTCCCTGGCAAGGTCAGAGCGAGCTTTGAATATGGGTGCTAAAATAGTCATAGCAAGTGTTCATCTCGGTGTGTTGGAAAGCGTTGTCTGTCTGTTAGCTGAGTAAATGTCAGGAGGATTTGCTTGCAAGACAGTTTGCCGTAGGAAGAACTTTTGCATTAGGTCTTCTACTTCCTGGGCTAGTCAAATGTCAGTTGAGTCCAGGCCAGGTTCCTTGAGTGTTCCTTGAATACTCACTCCTTGAGCTGCGTTTCCAGGCACTTTAGGAAGGAAAAGACCGGAGTTCAAGTCTGACTTGGGCTTAATTAGTTCTCCTAGGCTGTATTTTCCCTATCTTTTACTGGTCATCACTGATGATAAAATGATGTTAGCCCAAACCCGTAGCTGCAATGCAGTGGCACTACTGCTTCCTCCCCCCCATTTAGTCATTTTGTTCCTCTAAAATAAACCTTGTGTCTCACAAATACATGTGAGAGGGCATTTTGAGACATCCGGTGTCTCACATGTGAGAGGGCATTTTGAGACATCCTTCAAGAGCAGAAGAGGCTGCTGTGTGAGTGCTATTCCTACTTTCGGTCCAAAACATAAAACAGAGATTCAGAGTATTTTCCCCTTGCGAGCTGGTTGTTTCTCCCCTTGTGAATTGGTAGTTTCACACCTCTGCAGATGAGGGGCACGAGCCCTCTTTATGACCTGAGTTCTCCAAAGACTGCTTACATGATTCATCCGTCTCATATTCCAGACAGAGATGGATTTCAGACAGTCCAAGTGAGTCTCTCTGAAGCCTATGGGAGTTATTAGGATGTGCAAGCCAGCAGAGGGGAGAGGAGGACTCCATGTTTTATTTGCTTTGTATTTGTTTTGCTATCTAGTACGCTTTCTGGCTTTGGGGAGCCCTGGAATTATTCAGTCTTATCTTTCTATGGGGGTGAGCAAGATCAGAAGCATGAAACCACTTACATACAGAACACAATTCTCCGTTTCATGCACCCCAAGCATATCCAGGCCAAAGAAGCCTCACCCTCACTGTAGGACTGTGCTTGTATGACACTTGTATATGTTCACGGGCTACTTCAGGGCAAAATATATTGTTGCCTAAGATTTGTTGCAGAGAATAAATAAATTTTATTTCGTCTTGACTAAAAGAAACTCCATGACATTTTTGACCTGTGAAGAAATTTCTTAGTCCAAGCATGTCTGAGATGCTTCATTGGCAAAACGTTGAGTGTTATGAAATGGAGGGACGTCTAATTCCTTTGGGAAGCTCCTTTTGGAGTTTTTTTTTTTTTGTGCCCTTTGGGGAACAGAGGGTTAAACATTTCTTTGAAAGGTTTTGCAATGGGTGATTGGTTGCCATTAGCACTAGAGCAATCTTTTTAGTCTGTAAATCAGCAAGGTGGAGCCCTCAACCTTCCTGACCCTCTAAGCCACATACTGCAGTCTTTGCATGGCTGCCTGCCCTGAGCACATACCGTGCGCTTCCCGAAACTGGGAAGTGTTTGTGGGTGAGGACTGGAGATGCTCCTCAGGGATCAGAGTGCAAAACGGGCCAGGACTTGCCAGGGGCACTGCTGGCTCACAGGTGTCCTTGTCACATTTGGTCTGAGCACCCTTATTGACCCATTCCTCCCCTCAGCTCGGCACTGGGGTAATTCAACATCCCCTGAGACCAGACATGCTCCCAGGTATGTGCTTCTCATCTGAAACTGGAGCAGGCAGTGATTTATCGCACAAGTGCCGGTGGTTTATTCGCTGTAATACTTTCTATTGCAAGTCATTTTCCCTTTTTAAAAACTGTTGCACTTCAGAAGTTGTTATAGGTGAATTGGACCACTCTGGAGAGCTTCTCTGGTAGTGGGGAATGTGCAATCCAACGTTACTGCAAAGTGATGGGAAAGTGCTTTGTTGATTAAATCTCTGTTCATGGCTTTATCCTCCTTCACTCACTTTAAAATTACTGAAATGAAAACAGAGGCAAAGCTGCGGGCCTCCTGTTTAGATAAGTGATGTCCTTTGTATCAAGCAATCATTTTAAACTGCATTCAGAGCCTATTAAGTGAATATTTGTTCTTGGGAAGGCATCCTGTCAAGACCCCTTTGGTTGTTGCTTCCAATCTATTGCTTCTCTGCAATGAAGTGAGATATAAACCACTTCATGCTGCAGCTTTGGTCTACTCCAGCCCTGGGGTTTGTCTTGGTTTTTCTCACTGTCAGTGAGACTGATTATTTGTTACAAGAGTGGTTACAGGGATTGGGAGCTCAAGGATGGACCAGGACTCCACAGAGAAGGGCATTTTGATTGCTCGTTGGTTTCCTAGGCATTTCTGCAAGATCAAGGCAGTTCCACATTCTGAACCACTGAACATCCGGAAACAACGATCTTAAACATGTGGCTCCTTACACATGCAGCAGAGTTCAATACTTACTTTCCTCCCTAACTGCTCTTGAAGTGTTTTTGTGTGTGTGTGTCTTACATCAAAAAGAGATTGGGGACTGCAGATTTAAAGTTGTAGACTAAAATGCAACGTATGCAGAAATTACATCCTTTTGCTTTGTTCCTTCTAGAATGCATGAATTGCACAAGACTAGCAGACATGACCGAGAGACTAAACACGCTTGAGGCTAAGGTAAGGGCATGGCTTTATTGCTCTTTTTTACAAAAATTTCCAGGAGTTTGTTGACAGCAAAGAAGAGAGTTAACTCGCAACCCAGGAGAGATCAAGTCTTTCCACTTGCGGGTAAGCAGGGACTGCAGAGATAACCCAGATACGCATCTGATGTGACACAAAAGTGATCCCAGAATAAGCAGCTCTGGCTGAGAGAGCTGTTTGGTTCTTCACAGCTCATCTTTGCCCTTGTGGTACCTACCAAACCAGCCATCCAGCACTTGCTCTCTGCTTTACTGCAAGTTCTGTATGTGCCTTCCAGAGCGAGACTGAAGGTAGGTGGCTTGTTGGTACCATCAGGACAAAAGCTGCAGCAAATGTCCATCCTCAGCGCCCCTCTGCTGAGGATGTGGGAAGGGCTTTGAGCATTCGTTGTGCCACTGTTGAACCACCAACTCGTGGATCTTGGTTGGAAAATGTTGACATCAGTCACTCAGGTTTGGCTGCCAGAGCCTGGAGTTGGACAGAAGATCACTTCAGCTGGTTAGTAGGAATGGAGGGGTGTAAAGCAGCGATCTGCTTAGATGAGAAAAGAAACAGACTGTGATTCTGATCTCTCTCCCCAAAATGCCCCCTAGAAACCTTACTGATATAGAGTGATATAAAGGATTAATAGTATGTCATTTTTTTCTGAAGGCAGTTGTTCATTTGTTTGCACTTCAGATCCTATCCATTCGTTATGCCTCTTCTGAGAGGTGAGAAGCTTTTGTGCATAGTTTAGTGGTGAAAAATGTTCAGGGCAGACCTTCGCGTTCTGTTTCGTTGCAAATCGTTTTAATTTCTGCCTACTGGGAGTCAGATAAATTGTTTCAGTCTAGCAACAAAGCAGCTGAGTCAGTCAGTCCCCTTTGATCTCTGGTCCCTCCTGTGACAGCCCAATCTGGCTGTTAGATACAGTGCTTGGGTCCTTTATATGGCATTTGCTGCTGTTATTATTCATTAACTGATGATTTTCAATGACATAAAAGAATTTGGGGAGAACTCTTGCAGAGGTGGGTGGATGCGTGGTGATTTTAAGACCAGTCCATAATATTCTGATAATTTGGGAATTGTCTGAGTTGAAATGAGCAATGTTGTCTGGAACTTCCTCAGAGGCCTTCAAAGCGATATTTCACTATGGGAAAATGAAGCAAGGGGGAATGAAATTCTGGGGAGTTGAGTTGTTTGAGTGAAAACAACTGTTGTAGTTATAAAGAACAAAGATGAAGTGGGGTGTTTTGCTGAGCAATGAGACCTGTCAGGTGGGTGTTCTTTGGCAACTACGAGCTGGCGGCGTTAGGAAAGGAAAGAGGGGCTGTGACTGACCTCTGTCTATGCAATCCCGTATCCAAATAAGACAAAAAAACATTCTCAGAGAGACGTGAATCAGCCTTCCCATGCTTAGCCTGTGGCCAGCTCTATCTTCTTTGGCCTTCCAGGAATTTCTATGTTTTCTATATTTCTTACTGGAAAATCATAACCAAAGACTTGTTTCAAAGTCCTGACCTCGGCCTCTGGGCTCTCTTGGCTTGTGCTTTTCAATAGCTAATGCCAGCCTCGGTCGTGCTCCTCCAGAACACTTAGCTTAGGAGTGAAACCGCACCAAACCATGGGTTTTTTTCTTGCAGAAATGAAGGTAGCTTCAATCAGGTGACATTCTCAGTGCCACAAAGCAGCCTGCTCTCTGACATTGGCACCAAGTGCTCGATACACAATATATTTGGGAAGTTGGCTGCTTAAGCCATTGAGCTGGCTGCCCAACTTCTATGTGAGCGCCCGAATGAACTCATGAATACATTGCCTCCTACTCTAACCAAGGACCCTTGTTGTGAAGCAACAGTTCCTTCATTGGAAAAACGGATGAGCTATCCCTAGGAAATGCTTCTGAAGAACTCCCACATAGGCAGCTATCATGCTGCAGCCTGGTCAGTGTCCAGGAGGGAGCGTGGACTCATCAGCCAGTGAATGGGATGTACTGACAGCTGGTGGCTTTGCAGTGCTATGGACCATCTGACATGAGGAGCAGCGAGGCAGATGCCTGCAAATTCCAGTGCCAAAATACAGCTTGCTGGACCCTGGAGATGGCATTCAAAGAGTTTTGTCTCAGTCTCAGATGGAGCCAACAGAAGACCACCTCCTCTCTGCCTTCTTGATCATGGAGCTGTGAATAACTCAGAGCCGTAGATCACAGAGTGACAATGTTCTGCCATAAGAACTACTCCAATCCTGAGACAAGCCATGGTCTTCCAAGTCTTTAAGTAGCTGGAAAGCTTTGAGTAAGCAGAACAAAAGACTTGACCAGCTAGTGGGGCCCATTGCTCTAGAGGGATGTGAGCCACTTTAGCAATGTTGACTCTTGTCGACTCCACGACTTGATCTTGGGTTTAGAGTGTTGTGTCTTTGTGTGTTTTAGTGCTGCAGTATTTTGCAGTTGCAGACATCTTGTAATGTGAAGCAAATGCTGCCTCAGGCAGCATTGAGCCTTATCTGACATGAAGAAGGAGTGTTTTCATCCTTTATTTTAGCCGTGTGCTCTTAAATGTAAATATTTGTGTGTGACATCTCATCCTCACCACAGCTTTAAAAGTTACAGCTTGGAAGACTTGTTTTTCTGAGTCAGCCTTTCTGTAGCTTGATAATATTCATTTGGGATCTAGTCACAAAATCAAGGGAAACCTATGTACTTTTGGCAGCTAATGAAGCAATATAGGTTGTTGCTGTGATGGATTTCCTGACTTTTCTATGCTACCACCCAGAGCCAAAGGAGGAGCAGAGCTCATTCCATGGTTTGTTTTTACCAAGCGAAATGAGTTATAGTCAGAGATGTTTGGTCTGTGGGGCAGTGTAACGCCCTCAGTGATTATTATACGATAGTAGTTGGATTAGGCCAGCACCCTTTGTTTTCTACTGTCTGCAATCCTGTTCTGGATTTTGTAGAAAGATCCATGTTTTGTTGAAAGAATGGTCTGGAGATGTTGGCTGTTTCGCAGCTCCCCAGACTGTCTTCTCATAATGGCACGTCTCACCACAGCACCAGCTTGAAGCTGTTCAGAAAATATTGGAGTGAGGAGGTGAACTCACAGATTGTGACACTTGATGCTGATGACTCGGGTGGGCTGTCCGTAGTGAATGGAAGGTGCTCCATGGTACCTTCACATGCCATCGGAGAAAACAGAGTGGGTGCCACAGGATTGTTGTCCCCTGAAATTTTTTTACTCTGCCAACACACATCTGATTGATAGAATTTTTGACTTTTCAGTCCTTAGGAAATGTGGAAAAGCGTCTTCTTGGATTTGCGAAGGTACAGAGCTCCTTTCCTGTGTGCACGCTGCGGTTGAAGTATGCTGCGTAGGAAATCTTGGAGATAATCTCTGGATTATTTATGAGAAAAGCAAATCAACAAAGAGCTGGCACTCCAGTGCTGTGGGGGGCTGGACGGACTTCCAGCTCAAGAGTATAAATCAGAAAAGGTTACCCACTACTGACTCGGTGGGTTTCACCCTTTTGAATTTCAGCCCAGCATGACAGTGGTGAGCTCAAGGAACGGCAATGGATGAAATCAGTCACCTCTGCTGTCCAGCCTCAAGCGGGTCAGGCCATTGGCGTGTCCCGTAAGTGCTCTGCGGCACGTGGAGCCAGCAGAGACTTGCTCTAAATACTGCAAAGCTGAAAGGGAGATGAAGCTGGTGGAAAACTACTTCTGAAGGCATTGTGGCCTACGTGAGACATGTGAAGAGCAATTTCTTCCTCACACCTCTGCAGTGAAGGATCTAAGAGCCTTCCTGGATTATGTGTGAGGTACTTAAAATGCCTGTTTGCCCTCCAGTGACTGTGAGGGGCAAGTGTATGTGAAACCTGAGTTCAGCTGTGAAAAGGAGACTCTTAAGTCTGTGTTTTCATCCTTTCCCTCCTCCTCTTCTGCATGCTATTACAGCCGTCCCTCTAAAACCAGGTATATAACCAGAATTACTCTCATCTTTCCTATTACAGGGATGAGTTGGTTCATCCAACTTGTAAGATCAGTGTCCAAATGAGGTAATGAAAGTAACCCTCTGATTTTGTAATAGGAGAGTTGGCTTAGAAAGTGAGAAGCAAGAATAAGCACAGAGACAACAGAATGAAAAACGATTCATTAGGGACCTGGGCTTACACAGCCCCTGGGGAAGAAAGAGACCATGAGACCTGGCTGAATGTGAGGCAAAACAACCTCTTTTCTTTGCATCCTGCGCTCTCAGTAAGGCTGGACTAGGTGCTCCTTATGGCTCTGTGAGTTATTGTGGCAAAAAATGAGGTGAGGTAGGTTAGAACGAGGTTCCATTGTGATCTCCCCTGTTACCTTGTGGTCTGGCCTGGATGCAGGTTGAAATTTGCTTGATCTGTTTGACTCATACCAGGATAGTTTGGGTGGTTGATCGATGGTGTCAGGAAGAGTGTCCTGGAGTCCAGAAAGCTTGTGAGGAGGGAAGAAAACTACCCTCTTGCTACACATCAAATATCTCGAATGTTTCTTCTTTTCCATGGCACCTTGCTTGACATTACTGCAGCACTATTGACCTTCCAGAGGCTCCGTAGTGGGAAGGCAGAAGCAAATGCCCCGTTTTATTCCAAAGGTAAACATTCTCCATGGGCCAACACAGCTTCTTCGTGGCAATAGGGTCCAGCCCTTCCTTTTGCACTATATGCCCCCGGCATGCAGTGTCTGTGGTAAAGCAAGAAGGCAGCTCTGTGAAAAAATTCTGCTCATTTTCTTCTCCAGCAGCCCCAGTTTCTTTTAATAAACTCCATCAGGGGGTTGCAGGCAGTGTGATATTAATCCCAGCTTTTGGTCAGAGCTTGAGTGCAGCGCTTGAGCTGAGTTGATATAACCCAGTCTTATCTCCTGACACTACTTTTGAGAAGTTTGTGGTGTTTCGCTGCAACTTTAATGCTGGGAGATAACGTTACAAATCCAGTGTCTGATAGATTCATTGTGTGATTGATAA